TGAGAAGAGTTACCTTACCTCACACAGAGTTTTGTGGGGTCTCTTGAGATCTAATTGCAACAGGTTACCAAGCAGGGGCAGAGGTCTCGGTCCTGGGGGTTCATTTCTTTTTTCCTTAGAGATGAAAATGATAGAAACAAGATAAAGTACAAGCAGGAGAACAACAGCTCCCAGCATTGTGGTGGGACTGAACAAAATGAAAAAGATAAAATCCCCAAAATGTTCCATTTGCTCTGGTGTTGATGGTTCTCCTCTGTGCTGTCCTTGCAGGTAACACACTTTGCTTTGTGCCAGACTGCAGGGGCAGGAGGCTTTCTTTGTCATATATCTTTACAATCTCCTAGATTTTGACTGCCTTTGCAAAAATTAAACACTGCATGGCTTTTTCCAATGACTGATAAAAAGACCAAGAAGGGTATCTCTCAGACACTCTGATGTCAATAAACATGTGCACACTCAGTGTAAACTATGAATACTGAAACACAAAGTGTGAAGGAATATGTATCCCCTGCAACTTTTAAAGGGAAAGACTAATCTTCTCAAAAGTCATCCAGGTTAGGTTCTTCCACCTCTTCTTTGTGCTTCCAAGAATGGGATCACGATTTCTTCACAACGCCTTACTTATTTTAACCTCACTGTCACCATTGCACCTTAGTATGAAAAAGAAACTTTTTTTCTTTGTGGGTGTGTTTGGGTGAAAATGGGAAGGAGTTATAGTGCTTCTGGTTGGAGTTTCCATTACAGAGTGCAACATTTTGGGAGGTAAGTATTTAAATGAGTCATACAAAAACAGTTTTCTAAAGTTTGCAGCAGGTAATTTACTGCAAAATGAATGCTGAAAGAGCACAGCTTACATTGTGCCTGATGTGGCTGTGATAAATGCTGTTATGAATTTTTAATTAAATTCAATTCAAGTTCTTGATGTTACAAAGAAAACAGAAGTCTCCACCTATTGCAGCATAACTAAGGGAGGATTAAGGGTCACCAGTCCTAACAATATGCTTTATCAGTAGTTTTAAGCCCAATCTTAAAAGTAGAAAGGGTGTCTGCCTCCTGAATTCAAACTGGAAGCTGGTTCTAAAAGTAGCCTGAAAGCTGAAGGCTCTGCCTCCCATCCTATTTTTAAATACTGCAGGAACAACAAGGAAGCCCAAAGGAAGCGCCAAAGCCTTGACTCTGTTCTTCAATTCTTCACTGAGTCCTCAAACTGGATATTTAGATAAATAACTGTAAATGTTCTCCTACATCCATCTTTTATACAAGGATCTTTTAAAGAGGTGATAAACCAGTTGTTGTTTTTTAAATAAGCAGATATTCTCTGCATGAGTCCTCAACCTCGAAAACAAAAAGTAATGTAAATAAAAGGTTAAAAGACTGTAGATTAATATGTTTAAGGATGTTACCTGGATATTAACTACTAAACATAGACACAACATAGGTAAATTTAAAAAAAGAAATTAAAAGGTTGC